CCCCCCCCCCCCCCCATAAATAAAGGTGATAACTGGAGAACATATTCTTAAGGTATTAACCTGCTACTTCCTTCTGTTGACACACAAGAACTTTGTGCTAGGCTGAAACCACAGAGAAACCTACACATATTTACTTTACAGGAATTCCACGTAACTTTTTGGCTCTTTCTCCCAGATATAGTAAATATGCTTAGAATTTCTAGTGCTGTGCAGTCAGCATGCAGACCCTACCCTTCTCTCCTTCCTTTTCACACAGAGAAAGTATCTGCAGTGGAGACCTTCCCCTAGCTATGGAGATTCTCCTCCAGCGGAAGATCCTGATTTTCTAGTGGCCTCAGTTGTACAGAGAAACAGTATCATTAGAGATGGCTTTTAGTTCCAAATTTTTGTAATCTATGCAATTCTTGCCCAGTTTATAGAAAGGGTCTGGTTTCTCCACATCTCCTGCCTTCCACCCATTTCCTTCCTTTCATTTTCATTTCCCCTTCTTTTCAACAAGATCTTCTATTACTTTATTCTCAGTGAATGTAAGATGAGCTTTCCTCAATCACAGGAAATTATTTGAGAAGAAGCCTTTGTCTTCTTTCAGGTACATATGATATTTCATTTCCCACTGAATTTTGGTGGCACAAATTTGGGAAATTCTGAGGGTTTGGTATCCACGTGGTTGCCATGCCTTTCTATCTATCTACACACATACAGACATATATTGGCACACGTACAAGCACGATGACATTCAACCAATAGGGAACATTGAATGCCTTGGTAGTATGGCTGTGCAAAAGCAAAAAAAGGGAATGTTTTGTGAAGTACCCTGGCAGGGGTGATGCAGAACCATTTTCTCTCAACTAGCAATCTCAGGTGAAGTATTTTCTGTGCATGTTCATGCATGCAGAAATAATCACAGAAAGTCTTTAAAGCAGCCATGCTGAGTTTCCTGGAGGATGCATCTGCTCTAACACTTCATAGAAACATGCTCTCCATAGCCATAACCAGTAGCACATTGGCTGATCACGTACTAATTGCTACAATGACAACTGCATTCTGTAACAAAAACAAAATGGTTATTAATCAGTACTGAAAGGAACAAAAACAAGAGCGGTCAATATTGAAAACACTGGAATGCAGTGGGCTAACAAGAACATTATTTAGATACTACTTAAAAAGGGTGGCAATTCTTAGGAAAAAGGGACAGCATGGAAATATGAATGAATCTTAGGAGCAGGGATAGTATGGAAACTTGGATTTTAACTTAAGAAAATTATAGTGCATTTGTTGTGTTGCCAGGAAAGCAAAAAGAATAAATACAATTGGCTACATCCTGCTAAATGTAATTTCAGTTTGCAGCCCACCCGAAATAGATTTTGGAGGAATTGAAAAGAATAAACAAATGGAATATCTGGAAAATGACAGGATACAGTATAAGTGCTACCCTGGATATGACTTGGATGGGTCTGACTGGATAATATGTAAAAAAGAAGGTTGGATACCTTCACCAAAGTGTTTGGGTAAGTGGGCTATGTGATGAGATGATGCTTGAGTGTAGCCTGAGTGTAACATAATTAAAGGGATAACTGAGCAGTTCCTTAAAAAGAAGGTGGGAAAGTTTTTAGAGAAAGTGAGAAAGAGAGAGAGAGAGAGATAACAGTTGGATATACAAGTAAGTTGCAATCAGTGCGAGTTCGAATAGTGTGATATTTATTTTAGTGCAAATTATAAATGGATACCAGGTCGCATTTAATATGAGCAAAAATCCAGTTAGTGCAAAGCTAGCACGCACACAGTTGAGGCCAGCACGTGTGCAGCTGAGGCTAGTGCATGTGCGGTTGCCATTGGGGTTTTAGACACTAATTGTCATGTGTGCAAAATGGAGAAGAGGAAGGTTCCGTTCGAGGAAAGCTCAAAAAGAAGAGGCTCATTTTGAAGAACTGCAGCAGAATACGGGGGATAGCGGGTACGCTTTGGATAGGGGTTTATCTTCTTTTACTGTTACACAGTATTTCATTAATAAACAGATAAAATTTATGTTTAAAATTTTTAATTGCCTATTTCCATCGAGCTGGAACCAATTACCCTATTTTCCATAGAAATATCACGTTGAATAATGAAAATACTAATCATGTGACCATTTTCATTAACCACACTAATCAAGACCTACCTGTAATAAAGAACAAGAAAAGATCATTAGCATAAAAAAATAACAAATGAATGAAAACAGAGATAGTGGTGGCCATTCTTGCATAGTAAAATATTATTTTCTAAATAAGCACAGAGTTCTATGCCTCTAAATACTACTATTTCTGATTATTTATGTTTTGATTTAATTTAATGTTTTTTGTTGAATTATTATTGTTGGGTTTGGATGTTTATTTTTTGGTTGTATTATAATTATTATTAGTGCAGAGTCCCTGAAGTGGGGCACTATATGCATATTTTTAAATACAAATAAATATACTTTTATTGATGCTTATACAAATGAATGAATGAATGGACAACCTAGATCTTGTATCTTCATATAATGTTCTTGTTAAATAAAGCTTGATTGTTTATAAGCAACTGGTCCTCTGAATAAATGAGAGACAGAATAAATGGGAGTCAGAATATAATAATACCACCTGTGCATAAAAAACTAACCAAAAAGAAGTGATTGAAGATAACATCAGTATATGAATCCAACATATACTTATTTATAAGGCTCTGCATGCTTGGAAAATGATTTCAAAGAAGTGCTCTGGACCTTTCAACTCATTATTCCCTAAGCATGAAAAGAAAATTGTAGTAGCTTTAAAAGATGTATTAACTTTGAGTGAACTTCTTAAATCAGGGGACACACAAACACACACTCACTTTTTTTTTGGCTTACATGGAACTTGACAGATATCAGGTTGCTTTAGTGCATTACAGAGAGGTGTTGTTCTTGCACTTGTGTAAAGTCTGAAAAAACTTTTGAAATATACACAGCTCTATTTATTTGTTTACAAATTACTTTAGAAGAAATTATACCACTTCTGACCAAATAAAACTGGGTTTGTCACATCTAAAAAACAAGACACTTCCTGAATGTAGAATGAAATTCAAGAACTGTCATTTTTACTGTATATATTGCAATCTGCCTAAAAAGGTGTTATCCTCATATCAAATTGAATTTTAAGGGGATTGGCTTGGCTTTGGATTCAGATCCCTCTCAGCCATGAGCATTTCTTGAGCAGACAGAATTCCTTCCTTTAAAAGGATAATGTCTGCCTTCATATATCCTTTTGTGTAGCTAGGACAATCCCATAGATGTTGACTCAGAAGAAAGTTCTGATGGTGATTACTCCCATAGGCATCATTATAGGAGTATACCCTTTTACTACTGTTGTATTCTGAATGAACTAAAATAAGTTTCTTTGATTTGGTTGTCTGGTAATACAGCTTTGGTATGAAAAAGCCTAGTGAAACATGTGAATACTCTTTAATTAGACCTAGCATGATGCATGAACTCAAATCATGGGTTAAACTGAAGTTAAGGCATGGTATGCAGAATATTTATTTGCCTTAATTCTGATTCCCAATCAAACCAGACGGGGAAAGAAATTAATGCAAGCTTAATGCCTTTCCAGAAATAGAGATGGCAGATAGGGATTGACTTTGATATAAGAGGCAGGAGAGGCTTTGTGGCTCTCAACATAATTTTTAACCCCTACGCAATCATCCTTTCTAGCACAGAGCTTCAACTGTATAAAAAGAGTCATAAGAATCGCCCCTGTCCCACTTGTACTAAATATATGTAAGATAGCCAAATCTCTTTTCTTCATGCACAGCTTTTACTCATGGATAACCACTGAAAAGAGCTATAGCATAAAAGTATTCACTGAAGCTGGGTTAACGCATAGACTTTGAAAAGGCACATACTGGAAGAGACTAATTATTAAAACCAGGAATGCAAGCTTCTTAAAGGAATTATAGGTAGTTCTTGCTTAATGATGCTCAATAGGACCAGAAACTCTATTGTTAAGCAATGTGGTTGTAAGTCGAAAAACAATGTGACCGTGCTGCTTAGAGATGTCAGTTCCGGCAGTCTCAGATGCCGCTGTTAAGCAAGGACCTTACATGACTGCAACTTGCAACTTCCTGCCAGCTTCCCCACTGACTTTGCTTGTTGGAAGCCAGCAGGGATGGTCATAAATCACATTCACATGACTGTGGGTTGCTGCCACGGCCATAAATATGAGGACCAGTTGTAACTGCTACTTGTTCAGCACCATTGTAAGTTCAAATGGTTGCTGAATGAGTGGTGTTAAATGAGGACCACCTGTATAGTAAGACAGATTTCAACTGAATGCCATAAAAATAACCTATGTAAGAAAAATTCAAAAGTAGAATCAATAATTGAAAGAGGAGGTGGACTTCCCTTCATTTGACCTGTTCAAGGAGAGGTTTGGCAACTATCTGTCAGGGTTATTTTAATTTGGATTTCTGGACACAGCAGGTGTTTGGATTCAAAGTCTAAAATGACTCTTTTAAGTACATACATAAAGTCCTAATTAGATAAAGAACTATAAATAAAACAAAGAAATACCAGTTTCCAACTGAAAGGCAATCTATATTTTTTTCTCCCTTTCTTTTAGCACCCTGTATTCTCACAAAACAGCAGATGGATGACAGCAATCTTCTTTTGAATGGTGGGCAAAGACATTCAGAATGGATAAGAAATGGACATACAATAGAATTTACATGCAGGAAAGGATATTCCATTGTATCTCCTTCTATCAGAAAGTGTGTTGATGGGAATTTAACTTTACCTTCCTGTATTTCTTCTGGTAAATGTACTGTTAATGTGAATTAATTTCATTTGGCCTTTCTTTTTATCTAAACAGATTCATAGTTTTTTCCCCCTCTTGTCTTTGATTTCTCTAGGTTGCTGCTCTCTTTCTATTTAGATTATACAGTTGGACCATCATAAACCTACAGATGACCTATGGCTGCTTCATATTCCTATTTTTAAATGTTTGTTCATGCCCTGACCTATTTGTTTAAGAAGCCTTGGATACTTCACTGTTATCAGACCCAATCTCATTCTTGATATAATTCATAAACTCTCCCATTTCATTTTATATAACTGAGCCTGATCTACTGTACATATTCTTTCTTTGCAATCAAAGGTCAAAAACAACATTGGTTAATCGAATGGAATTAAGCTCTAACAGAAGTCTATGTCATCCAAGAATAATTTGTTGTGTTTTCACAGCAGCTACAGAGAATTGGCTGAGAATTATATAATGGTTCTGAAAGGAGTAGAGTGGTACAAAAGTCATCCAATCTACCCACATTTTCCAGCAATAGAGGGATAGTATATTTTGCACACAGATCCTTAGAAATGGGACAGTGTAATGAAAATGGTTTGTTGTTTTGATTCTCCTGAATTCACATGGGCAAGTACTCTTACCCAGGGGAGTTTTAGATCATTTATCTTTTAGAAACACAATGGAAGAACACAGAATCTTGTCCTGAAGAACTCTCTCAAAATTAGGATCTCTCTATTCCAAAAATCTGCCATGACAGGGTTTACTTTCTATTGCATGGAAGAGCAACTGTGATTTCTAAATACAAACTTAGTTTAAATTGGGCTGAAGGAAATGTTCAACTTTCAATGAAATTATTTTTTGACTATAATCAGGGGAATTATAAGTTTTCAAGTGTGGCCACCATTTCAAATTAGAACTTGGTGAATGATGAAGAAGTGACATATGCTACCAACATTCATTAATAATCAATGGAAAGAATCTGCATAATGATTTATGTGTCATGTATTATGTCGTTCTAATGTCTGGTGCAGAGACTTCTATTGCTGCTGCTATCATTTCCAGGAGACTGCTGCCACGTGTAATGAATTCCTCTACACCAGGTATTAAAATAGCATGATGCCAATAAAACATTTTGAGAACTAAAAGTGATAGTCAGTAGAGATATGGTTTCCTGACATCAGTTCTAATCAAACACCATTTATTTATTTATTTATTTATTTATTTATTTATTTATTTATTTATTTATTTGAAATACTATTTGAAGTATGCAAAAAAGAACAACCACAACCCCATTCAAGCTTCATCAACTAATGTATTGTCAAAGGCTTTCACGGCCAGAATACGATGGCTGGTGTGGGTCTTCTAGGCTGTGTAGCCATGTTCTGGAAGTTTTGGTTCCTAACGTTTTGCAACATCTGTGACCGGCATC